TGGTGGAGGTCAAGATGGTTTGGAAAGGTACACAGATGAACTTTTTGTTGTTGTTCATTTTAATAGGTAACTATTTTAATGTATATTAAGGAAAAATGTAAATAGTGCATTAACCCTGTGTGATTGGGTCTCTGGCTCCCTCATTGGCCTGTCTTTAACACACAAGGTGCCGCAGGACCTTCGCACTTGATGTCCTCTCTGCCTGAAATGCTCTCCCTCACCCAAAAGTGATTATTGATATTTTGTTAAGCGCCCTCACATACTGTCTTTTTCTCTCTCCCTCCTTCTGCCTCTCTGCCTCTGGTCCCATCAGCACCACCACACACAGTCGTCACTTTATAAATGTAGCGGCACAGGACACATACTGGACTGTCACTGGTGTCTTCATTTTACACTCCTGTGCAGGCCCGGTGCTCTGCAGGTTCCACGGAGCCCCTAGTTGCTGGCATGTGGCTCACTAACTCCCTGGCATCTCACTGCTCACTGTTTGGTAATAAACGTGTCCTGCGAAGCCAGGGTGTTTCTTTTTCGGTCTGCTGGAAAGGGCTGTGGCTCCAAGGCCACATCCCCACCGCTGACCAGGTCCCTCTGATGGCAGGGAGCGTTGTCCGTGGTTACATGGGTGCAGCACTGAGCACTGGCCCTTACCTGGGCAGCCAGCGTGGGCACCTCCCGAGATGATCAGAAATGCATGACTTATGACTTCATTAAGCAGCCCCCCAAATCAGGAAATTCGGCTTTTCCACCCACTCCTCAGCCTCTGATGTCCAGCAGATAAATGAGCAGATTCTCTGCTCCAGTCTGGAGAATGCCTCACTTCCTGGCTTCGTTTGCGGCTGTGAACCAAGCTGCCTCCTCCCGGCAGGCAGGGTGCCCCCACGGCTCCCCAGGCTCCCTGCCCTGTGCACCTGGGTCACTTCCCCTCCTCAGGAGGGCAGACACAGGACACCCGATGGACTGCACTTTCTCCCCTGCCCCACTCACCAAATACAGTGATTCCAGCTAGACTGACCTGCTGTGCCCGGCACTCTTCCTTATGAGAGTTAATTCTTCTTGATCCTGACCATGACCCAGCGAGGAGCGTTAGTATTACCAGACCCATCTCCCTGGGACAGTGGAGGATGCTGAAGCACCAAGCAGTGAAGGGCACTGCCTGCTCACACAGCTGAGTCCGACTCCAGGAGCTCCCCCTTTATTGGGATCCTTAAAGAGACTGTGGTGGAGGATGGAGAGAAGATCAGGGCAGGGGAAAGGGTTCCGATAAAGGGAAGCAGAAGAGGGGCAGTTAACCCAGCCAGGAGCTGGCTTAGAAAGTCATGTGTTCCAGCCGCTGAGGGTCTATGAGTTCATGAGTCCCCAGGAGCGGGAAAAACTGTATGTGTGCAGGCACACTTGTCACAACCTCAGGGGCATCTGTGATTCAGGGGAGAATGGCTGCCTGGCCAGATGATCCTCCAAGGTCCCTTCCAGCTCCCAAGCCTGTGGTTCTGTGACCATATAAGGCCACTGTGCCTGGGGAATCTCACTGCAGCAGAGTGCAGTCCTGCCTGAGAGGGGGAAGCAGAGAGCAAAGGGAGCCCAAGCCTGAGCCTCCTGCAGGGTCCCAGCAGCAGAAGGAGCCGAGGCCAGGGCAGCCAGGGGTCTTTCCTGATTGCCTCTTCCCAGAAAGCTCAGAGCCTCTCGGGTGGGCTGGGTCCCCCTCTCCCTCCCTCCCTCCCTCTCCCCATCTCCACTTGCGATCTCCCTTGTGGCGTTGCCAGGTTCCCAGAGCCCAGCTGGCTGCTCCAGTCCAGAGTCGGACACTCAGGCCTGCCGAGTCGGCCTGGGCTGCTCCTGGCGTTGCTTCTGGTTTGGTGTCTGGGAATGTCTCTCGGAGCCCCCGAGCTCTGGGTGGGCATTCTGCTTGGCCCCCCTTTGCCACGCTGGCCCTGCAGGCGTGAAAAGCTGGTGGATTCCCACCCTGACACGCATATGCACACACACACACCTGCCTCCTTTAGTGAGCTCCTTGGGGAGGTCCCCACATGAGAGGGGACACACTCCTAGCTCACATAGTGTGTCCCACTTTCTCTGAGCACTGTCCACAGCCAGCCCTGTGCCAGGTGGTACAGAGAGCGGGGAACCAAGGTGTGATCATTGGGCCTCCAAGGCCCAACAGGCTGGTGGTAAAGACAGAACATTAATAAACAAATCTACTCAGATGTGACCTCTGACTCCCGTTGTCATCAAGGTACAAAACATATTTTAGTCTTAACTACTGGTTGTCAATGACAGGAACCAAAGCCAAGTTAACTTACACAATAATAAGGACTGTTTGGCTCACATCACTCAAAAGTGCAGGCACGGTGTCAGCTTCAGGCATGGCTGGATCCAGTAGCTGAAATGATGTCTCCAGGACTCGATTTTCCCCTCTGTCACTCAACGTGTAGGCAAAGTTCAGTTTATCCGGGGCTGCAGCAGGGTGAGATGTCACTGGCTGTAGCTGAGGTGTCCCGTGCTCCCCAACTTGTGCTCTCCCAACCCTGGCCTTGTCTCCTTCAGGACTCAGCCCTGGGTGGTTGCAAGAGACCAGACTGCCCTGAGACGTTTCCCCAACCTCCAACCAGACACTGCCTTTCATTGTCTCACACTTCTTGGGCCAACATTGTCAGAAGTGCCCTGATGCTCATTTTGTGTGCAAAATCTCTGGACTCTTGGGGAACCTGGATATAGGGACCCAGGGCAGAAGCAGCAGCCCTGCCTCTCAGCATCTGCCTGGTGGTCGCAGGCAGGGCATTGAACGCCACTGTGACACTCAACCAGCTGTGTGACCTCGGGTTGGTGGCTTAACCTCTCTGAGCCTCAGTTTCCTCATCTGTAAAAGGGAAATAGTTTCTATCTCCTAGAATTGATTTGAATATAAAAAGAGATGGTACAAGTAAAGTACTTAGCATAGAGAGTGAGCTCAGTATGGATGATTAGAATCTGCACACCTCCCAGCCTTGAGCAAGCTTCGGGAAGGGTTCAACTTAGCAGCTCCCTGATGCTTGCTTCTTGCCAAGCTTGTGGAGTCACACCCTATTCAGCCAAAGACTCAACGGGACCCCTATTCAGACTCCTCCCTCTCTCTGGTACTCTGCCCCTCAACTCCCAGCCACCCAGCCTTCCTGAACTCCGGCCTCTATCTCGTCAGCTCAGGAAGAGCACTGTGCGCCGCTTGGTCTCTCCCTGTCCACACTGCGGCCTGGTCAGCATCCCCAGGAGGACACCCGGTGTCCTCACGGGACTCGCCACACTTATCTCCCTTCTCCCCCGGGTTGCAGTGTGGCACTGCCCACCCTCCAAGGTCTGAAAATGCTGTTTCATATATCTTGTCCAGTTTTCTAGTTTGTTTACACGGGAGCTAGCGAGTCTCTTTGGGGTCCCCCTGGGGTGGCGCACTGTGATCTAGGCTGGGTGTGCCTCTCTCGGCGGACTGGTACAAAAACATGTCTCCACCTGCCAAAAACCCACGAAAAGTCAAGCGGGCCGTGCTGTCGCAGAGAGAGCCAGGATGAGGCGCACACCCGGCCCCAAGTTGAGTGTTGCGACTGAAACCACTGGTGCCCATCACCGGATAAACAGATGGGCAAGATGTGGCATATCCCGCAAACGTAGGGGAAGTGCCTGATACATGATACACTGTGGCTGAATCTGGAGAACACTGCGCTAAATGAAAGAAGCTCGTCACAAATACTACCTCTCGCGTGGTTCTGTTTATAGGGAATGCCCAGGATAGGTCAACTTATAAGAACAAAATGCAGCCCAGCAGTCTCTTACTGCTGGGTGGGGGTGGGGAACCAGTGCTCGCGGGGGCATGGTTTCTTTACAGGGGACACAAAGGTCCTAAAATCAGATTGCGGTGATTGTTGCCTGACCTTCTGAAAGCTCTAAAAACATTGGATTGCGCCCTTTTAATGGGAGGACCGGATGTGACTTGGATCTCGGCTTTTTTTTTTTTACAAATTGTTAGCAGTTTTCTCCTGTTCGTGAAGGAATGGAAGGGGCGAGGATGCGGGAACAGAGCAGTCTTGGCTGTTACGTTGAACTGATACATGTTTCCCATGGTGCTCAGCCTTGGACTGAAAAACGTGGGAGTTACACAGTTCGTTAGAGGGCGAGGAACGCAGGGTGTGGGTCTCAAAATCCATACTCGCTCTCCTTCATCACTCCAACCGCAAGAGGGTTCGTGTGAAGTTCGGGTTTTACCCCCTCTTTCTAGCCTCCTCTCCTGATGGAACCCGATCAGCAAGGAGCCTCACTGAGCGGCCACCATCTGCAGGGAGAAAGGACATTCCGAGCATGTGTGGCCCTAACCCTGACCTCAGAGGGACCAGAGAACAGGAGGGCAGGGAACACGTGGCTTCTAAGAACTGCGATGTCACCTTCGTGGCCTCGTGTCACTGTGCCGGCGCACGGGGATAAGGGTGACGTGACACTCGGATCCCAGGCACGGGTGGAAGAGCAGGCGGGACCCTCCTGCTGACTGCTCCGTAGTCAGAGGTGAAGATGGTCCACTCTGAGCGCGTCCTCTTACCTCCTGTGAAAGGAAGGAGAGTTTCCCTTCGCAGGCTTCATGCGGTGGGTCGTCGGCCACACCCTCCCAAGCGTTGCTTGCAAATACTAATGGCTAGCATCGGTGGAGTACGTAGTACGTGTCCTCCTGGTTCTAGGTGCTTTAGAGTATTATCAACACCTTATTAACTGGTGTTTCTTTCATGCAGACATAGGGAACATACAAACACTGCGTTTCTTTTTCCCACCGTTCTGGGTTTTGGGTTAATTTTCAGTAATTCGGGTAGACTTTTCCTTAGATCTCATGGCACTAATGCAGCAGCTCAGGAATGCTGCCCCCACGTGGGACCCAGCCCTCAGCCGGCTCAGCCGGGAGGCTGGCCCGGGGCTGCGCCCTCCTGGTGCTCAAGGTGCCGCAGAAGGACGGTGCGCTCATCACCTGTCATCTGTGTGCTTCTCTCCTCTAGGATTATCCATGAAGATGGCTTCTCTGGAGAAGACGTGAAACAGTACAAGCCTGTCGTCTACAGCAACACCATCCAGTCCCTGGCAGCCATCGTCCGGGCCATGGACACTCTGGGCATCGAATACGGTGACAAGGAGAGAAAGGTAGGCCGCTGAGCCCTGGGGCGCAGCCAGGAGGGACCCTGTCTCGGTGCCCTATTGTGTCGTCCTGATGATGCCGGGCAGCCTGGCGGGAACGAGGGAGAAGGTGCTGTTGATGAGACAGCAGGCTGGTCCCCCACTGAACCAGTACGTCAGCCCAAACCTGGCCAGTGCCGACAGGGGCCTCACTGACGGGCAGCCTTCCCAGCGAGGTCGCCAGCGAAGATGACAGCCACGCGATGCCAGGGCTTTGCGTGGCAGAGAAAGTTTGCAGATGAGAAAGGGTTGGTGACTGTCCTAAGTTGGGATTCTCACAGCATTGTACAGAGAAAATATTTCTTCAATCTAACAACCCTCCCCTCCTTAGGCGAGCTCTTTGTGCCCTGGTTGGGGGTGCAGCGGGGCAGCCATGAGGATTGACTCTCTCTTCCTTCTGTGCGTTTTCTGCCTCTCAGGGGTGACTCTGAGGACCCAAGGGCCCCCTTCCTGTGGGAAGTGGATGTCTTAGAACAGAGACTGTTTTTCACTTGAGTTCCCCAGCATCCGATAAGTGGTGGATGGAGAAAGTATATAAAAGCCTTTCATTTGCCAGCATCCACACTGACTGTGAAACCGAACTCTATACAGCTACACTGTCAACACTAAATTCAAGGCGGGAGCGGGAAATGGCATCAGAGGGTTCTATCCAGAAGCGGCTCTTGTCCCCCGGTGGGATTCCGGATCCCAGCATCCCTCCGCCGGTGACCCTGCAGAGCGTGGAGGGGGAGCGGGTGGGGGCCTCCAAGCGCTAGGGCCCGACGTGGAGCCTGTGGATGGAGCGCCCCAGTCTCTGATTACTGTGTGACTTGCTTGTGCCTTTTACACATGTCCTGGCTCTGCTAACAATCACCCGTCACTGTCCTCACCTTCTCTGGGTCAGATGAATCATCTGTGACAGATAGCTTCAGATGTAAAACTCAGTATTTTATGCACCAAATTCTAATTAGAATGACAGTAAAGAGTCATCCCAGCTCAGGCATTGGGCCCTCTAGGCACAGACAGATTGGCTGAGCGTGTCCAAGGCCAGCCGAGGATGTTGACACGGGGCACTGGCAGGAGGGCCTGTCCCTGCCCCTCCAGGAGAGAGTCTGTAAGCTGGCTCTGCAGAGGAAGCCCTTCTCCCCCAGGGCACTGGCTCTGGCGTGGGTCAGGGAGCCAGGGCCTGTGGAGAGAGGGGCGCTGCTGGTTCTACGGCCTTGTTTCCTGTAAGCATTGGCCGAGGACGCCCAGTGAACTGGGTGTTGTGCTGGCTGCTGGAGCCATGGAATGAGCACAGCAGGAGCGATGCCCGGAGAAAACAGACGGTCAGCAAATACCTACTCAGATCATCACAGCAGCCAAGGTGGTCATAAGGCTTCACTCATTTCAGCAGCAATGGCCACAGTGGTAAGTTACCACTTATTGAGCACCTACTAGCTGCCAGGCACTGCACTAAGCACTTTACATGCATTAACTCATTTTAACTAACTCAGGCATTCATGCCCATAGCAGGCAATGCCTGGGCTGATCTTCAGACCTGGGCCAGGCCCCAGGACCTTTGCTTTCTGTCTACCTTTTAGCCAAAGAGAGAGCATAGGGCCTGAGTCTCATTTACCCAGAACGTGGACAGTGCAAAAGGCTCGGGTGTCCACAGCGCCCCCCGCCCCCCGCGCGCGCGCACACACACACACACACACACACACACACACACACACGGCCTTTGAGAACTTCCGAGAGTGTGTACGGTCACCCTCCTGCCCACTCCCCAACCAACCCAGCCTCCCCCAAACCTCCTGCCCTGACCGTTACCCAGAAGAGTCCTTGTGACTTTGGAATGCTCTTCTTCTTTGGTTTGGAAAACAGTAATTGTTCCTGTGCGATTTTTTTCTCCATTTTATCCTGGACAGAGAGATGACTGGGAATGTAATATATTAAGGGCTTTAGGCTGCAGGGCTCCGCGGGTGTCGGGGGCCGTTCCTCCCCTGTGTGGTTTCCCAGCCCAGACGGCCCTCAACCAGGAGGTCAGGGACGGCCACAGTGGAGAGGGAGAAGGAGAGCGGAGAGCAGAGAGGGGAGAGGGGTTCTCTGTGGAGAACCCGCTGGACCCCAAGGAGCTGGAGCCCAGCTCTGCCACAGCAGATGGCATCGTGGCAGGTCCCTGACCCATCCCCAGGATGGCACAATCTTCCAGGCTGGCAAAGGCCTCCAGGCACGTGGGCACCTCCATCCGTGTCATGTCACCTGTGAGGGGCAGGGAAGGAACGCTTGTGCAAGACTCGGGCCAAAGTGAGCTGGGCAGCTGGAGAAGGTGCAGATTTGCAGTCTGGGGAGCTGGGCACAGGAACCCCCTCATATCTGTCTGTGGGGGAGGGGGACAGGTACTGTGGACTCGGTAGCCAGGGAAGGTTCCCAGAACCCCAGAAGGGATATTTGTGATAAAGCTGAATGTGAGAAATAGCCAGCAGCTGGAGAATGAGGGGACAGAGGTTCCAAGCAAACACCGAGGCCATGAACAAGGGGTGAGGTTGGCGTGCTGGAGGAGAGGAAGCTTCTGTTCAACCTGAACTGCATTCTGCGGCAGGGGAGGGGCCCCGGGGTGTGGGACACCCTCCAGCTCTTCCACCTGCAGCCGGCATGTACCGGTGCCCAGGTGCCCCGACCCGAGGGCTGGTTCTCCAACTCCTCTCTCAGGTCTGCCCACCCAGGGCCTGCAGTTGGGATGTTGGGAGAACTGCCCATGCCGAGCAGGCCCAGTTGGGTGTCCTGGTCTCTAAAGAAAAGATCTCCTTCCTTCTCTTGGCTTCCGCTGCCACAGTTCCCCCACCCATCACGGGGTGTCTGACAGAGGACAGCCCTGCACCCAGTGCCTGCTCGGGCCAGCCAGCTTTGGACTCTGCACTCAAAGAAGCATCTAGAACTTTCCTTGTTGTACCCCATTAGAACAAACTGTCCCTCACTCATCCTGGCAACTGGCCCGCCACCTGCTCCAGCCCCCAGTGGAAGGAGGACGGACTGACCTCTCCCTCGGCCTCTCTGTACTGTAGACTCACCTGAGGCCACGGGACTGTGCGGGAGCCCACGCCAGAAAGAGCCTTCATGTGGGGCAGGCAGCAGGGACCCCCCACCAGTCTGGGGCTGTCCCACTCCAGGCCCCAACCTCACCTGACCACAGACCCTTCCCCGGAGACACTGGACCCTCCCAGCCCCCCAGTCCTTGTCTCCGGCAGCACCCTCTCTAATGCCCCTCTCTTCTTCTCTTCCCACCGGGCCCCCCCACTCAGTACAGGGCAGCTCAGCGCCCCCCGCCCCCGCCTTCTAGGAAGATTCCCCTCCCTCCCCTGGACTGCAAAACTCAGCTCCATGCTTCCTCCACTGGGCATGCGTCCTTGCGCCGGTGTGAAGAGTGGTTGCCTGTGCTACCCTTTCCTTAGAGCAGCGACCCTTACACGTTAGGGTCAAAACCCACGTGAGCAGGCAACGAAAGCCACGGGCCTCCTCTCCAGAGCAGCACCTGCATTCCCACGTGAGACTCTGCGTGCAATCCAGGGGACTCTGGAACACACAGAGCCCACCGTGGGGCCAAGAATAAGAATTCCTTTATCATTTACGGCCTTCGTCTGCTCAAGGCCTGAGTCATTCATCTTTGGGTCACCTCCTCACCCCTACGGCCAGCACAGTGCCCAGCACATAGTAGGTCTTCGAAAGTAACCCCTTGAGTGGAATAACCTAATTCTTCCAGTTCTCAGGTTAAAAAAAGAGAGAGAGAGAGAGAGAGAGAGGAAAAGACTTGTAATTTCATCACTAAATGATGTTGGTTGAGTGCCTACTATGTGCAGGCTTTGGGCTAAGCCCTGTGTAAAGATTCAAAGGTATGTGAGATGGGGCCTTTAAGGAGCTGGTCATCTCAGACAGGACTCAGAGGCTGAATGAGCTCGCTCGTTCCACAGGATGGTCAGAAAGGGCTTCTTGGAGGAGGTGAGGCTGGAACTGACCTTGAAACAGGTATGGCTTGGCAGGTGTGGGCAGGGAAAGGGACCAGAAGCAGAGAAGTGGGTTGGCGGTGACTAAAGGAGATTTGGTTGACAGAGGAGGCCAGTGGCCAGAAAAGAGGCTTGGGATGAGGGCCAGGTGTGGGAAAGCTGGACGATCCCTGAGGTCCAGGTCGGGTGGGCCTTGGAAAGAAGGCCCAGGACTTTGGGCTTTAGCCTGTGAGGGTAGGCAGCCATCGAGAAATTTTGAGGGAGGGATGGCTAAAAGCGAGCTTAGGAAACTAGCATATTGGCATGCGTGGGACGGGCCAGTGCGGGGAGAGACCAAAGGTGGGTGGGGACGCAGGCTGGGAGGCCATGGTGACTGACCACGCACCAGGGTCTCAAGGGGGCTGGAGCTGAGCGCAGCTGAGTGGTGCAGTGACAGGAGAAAAAGGGACTAGGGACTGGCGACGGGGGCAGAGGGCTAAGGGTCAGGAAACTGGCACTGTGGTGGGACCAGCCTGGAGGACTGGGAACAAGGTAAAAGCCAGGAGATGGGGCCAAACACGCACATGAGCCTTCAGCCCAGCGGGTTCCCAGGTGGAGGGGTCCCCAGGTAGACAGACTCGGCTGTTCGTTTTTACGGTCCGGGGCCTGCTTTAAACCGGTACATGAATTCAATTATTAACACTAACAGGTCCCTGAGCAGTGGGTGCTACTGTCGCCCCGTTTTACAAGTGACTTGCCCAAGGCCATGCTGTACAAAATAGGTTCGAATGCAGTACAGGGGCCTACTGCTAATGAAACTGCTGTCCCCGTGGTTTGGGTCCAGAGCAGAGTCCCACCTCAGGAGGCACAGTCAGGTAAAACATTAAATCATTAAAAGAATCCATATTTTCGCGAAGTCTCTGAAAGTATGGAAAGGGACCCGAAGGACCACGCCCACTGCTTTTCCCAGGTAGCCTTTCCGCCTGCCTCGGGTCTGTCCCCCACCACCGCCTCATCTGTCCCCCT